TGATAAATATTCCATATAAAAAAGAAACCTTCTACACACATAATAAAGAATAATCAATCAAACCTTTATATCCATATTGGCATATTTTATTTGCTTCAGTATACATTGGATAATTCTACAAATTCAGTGAAGGGGATCCGAACCCCAGACCCCCCCCCCCCACCCCGAACTGCGCATGGTTTACTTTTCCCTAAGCGGGGAACACAAATTCTCTGAATTAGCTTGTTTAATTTTGAGTTAACAAGTACAAATTTATCGAATCAACGTACGAGTGAAAATGAATATTTCTTCTGAGATAAACATCATCGATATATCAGGAAGTAAAATTGAAGGCCACAGCAGGAAAACCTTTTTTTCGTGAATTTTTAGAATAAATTCTCCTTTATATGAAATTCATACAAAAATAGTTCTGTTGACGACGGATAATTTTTCATAAATAAGCCTTTTTCTCTAGAAGCAATGTTTTATATGTTCCTTGAAATTGAAGGCATTATCTAATCAATAAAATTTCTCGATAGCAATCTTTTCATGAGACATTTGCGCAATACCTTTAATAGATCACTGTTGGTCAACTGATGCCGCTTCATGTAACCCTAATTAACAATACAATAACACCATCTCTCCTCCACCCCACCCCACCCCCCTCTCTCTCTCTTCTTTTGAACATTTAAATTAACCTTTGTGGATTAGACTGATTAAAGTACATGTATTTAGAAATATCAAAATCAGTATATAATTGATGAATACTCAATACGGCATGTTTAGCTACAAAAACGGACTTGCCTCTGTTTAAGATGTTGAACATCAACATAAATGACCAAAACCTATTTCTTGCAAAACATTTCTGACGTGATAAAAAAGTTATTGTTATTTTTTTTTAAGTAAAAAATGAATTCTTTCGGGAAGCAAAATTGTTGTTTATGATTTGTAGGATGTTGATCAAGTCATACCTTTTTTTGGAATGACTTATTACTTTATAGTCTTTAAGTAGTTTAATCCAAAGTTACTTTGCCAAAAAACTACGCTTGGGCGTTCAAAAGCAAATTCTGAAGATTCCCATAGCAGGCATTCATTTACTGCAAATACAGAATTTGTAGCTATAAGTAGTTAACAATAACCGTAGAATTTTCTTTCTTCCGCTAACACCACGGGCCTAAAACATTTAAGAGTAGAAATCAGGTAAAATATTTCAGTAAAGCATAAAATTCGAATAAACAAGAATGATAATAGTGTAATATTAATTATTAAGATGTCCTTTTTTTCGTTCCGTGATCGGAAGGTCGTGTGTTCAAATCACGATCAGAACTGACCTAAGTCTATAAAAAATGTAAAGCAACTGTTCCTTCGCCAAGTGCTCGGCACTTTTTAAATGAAAGCCGCGGGTCTTTCGGATGAGACCTTAGAAACCGAGGTCCCGTGTCACGGTAGGCATGATAAAGAATCCTAACTGCTCAATGGCTCTTAATAACACAACGAATCAAAGTCTAAATTTGAAGCCCTTCCCTAGTGTAAACAGTGTAAACTACCCCCGATGTGATATCTATCAAATTTGCTACTTGTCTTAAAGTCAATCCTACATCATCAAGTATTTTTTGTTGAAATTTGGCAAACAGTACATAAGTGTTATAATTTTTTGTTGGCAAGGACGGTACCCATTTTTTATGCCCATTATATAATATTTTATCATTGAAATCCACCTGCTCATTTGTCTATAAAACAGGTATTGGTTGCTATAAATGTCACATATTTCAGTGAATATTTCTTTGGGATTTTTAACAAGTTTTACAGCAGCTTTGTTCAAACTTTTATTTTCACTCTAGTTTACCGATTCTTTACATTTATAATGTAGTGTCTCGAAAAGCCCTTGTTTCCCAGCTTCTCACAATGAAACTATGTGATGAAAAGTGATCACATGAACTGTTATAAATTCATTAAAGATTCAATTATGAGAGAAAGTCAAGTTTAATGTCATATGATATCTGTATTGTATGTCATACAGTTCAGGACATTATTTATTGAACAGCCCTCGTACAATTTATGAATTGCAGTCTACCAAAGGAACAGAGTACCTCAGTATCAAAAGTAGGTTTCCTATACAAACAAAACAAAGAAGAAACAAAAATCCAAGAGAAGTAAAATTACCGGTAATATTCATTAAACTTGTCGGGTTTTGATAATGTTTATTTTTACAAGTAAGAGCTTTCCGAAAAGCTTCTCCTACAACCGAAATCAATTAAAAAGTTTCAGACTAAATACTTAATCAAAGGCTATGCGAAATAAACGTGACGGTCTACTGCAAAGAATAATCAGAGAGGAAATGAACATATAAATGCTTTCAGGTATTTACAAGTTGTCATTCTTATGTATCCTCTGATTAGTTTTAAATAACATGGAAATGCCAATGAAAATTGGTTTTGTATTTTTTAAAATTTATTGTGTTGTAATACTGTAATCATATATGTAATTGTCCAGTTTAGACACAACCAGCTGGAAAAGTTTACTCTTACCCAACGAGGCTCTTCTTGATTAATGGCCAAAAATTGTATTGAGTTTTCTATAAGCGAAAATATGTTTTATGAAATCTAATCATTATAGTATTGATGAAAGGAATGAATGGTAAGTTGCTTCAATTGTTCTTTTAATTGCGTTTTAGATTTCATTTTAGATATGAGTTCAAAAAATATTTTTCGTGTCAACTTAATACACTAAATCAGTGTATCTGCACTAGTTAAACACTGCAAAATTTTGCTTATTCAGAGGAGGCTAAATATATCATCCATGTTACCAACCATGGCAACCGAATTGAAAAGTTAGAATTTAACATCATAGTTATTAAAGATATGCCAATTGTAGTATATGCAGTGAAATTTAACTAAATCTGACACATGTCATGTCCACCCATTTAAAATTTTGATTTTTATAAATGTATATTTTTTTCTTGATATTAAAAATGTATACTGTATCTTTTTATTTTGTAACAGGTAAAATTAAAAAAAAAAAATCATTAGATAGGTCTTTGTACAGAAAAAAAATACGTCACATGTACAATTTAATCATGACAGGAAAAATTATACAGGATCTGTATAAAAATCAATTAAAGAGCACTTTTTAAATTTATTTCCATCATCTGACTTTAAAAAATATAATATAATCAAACGGGGAAGAAGTGTACATTTTACAAAACTGTTTGTATAACATTTTATCAAATTTCTTTTATCTCTCTATAGCCACATGTTACTGATTACTATCATTTCGTCTCTCTTAAAAGAGACACATAAATTGAAAAGAAAATTGATTTAAAAAACTCTATTGTGTTAATATATATATTTCGTTAAAATTCAACTTGAGTAATCTTACACGGAAGGAAACAAAAAGTTTGGTAGCAAGATGGCACAAGTTTATTTTGCAGTTGTGATTGCAGCATCCTGTGGTGTTCTAGCTGCCGCTCTGACACAGTTTGAACAAAATTTTCTAGATGCAAGTACACCTTAGAACCATAAACAACATTTCATTCCTTTTAAGTACAATGTATTAATATTCTCAATATTCCTCAACTCCATGACAAAGTTTGAACAAAACTTTTTATAGATGTTACCATAATGTAAATGGCTTTCAACCTTGAACAAAATGCCTCCGTTTAAGTATGAACGAAACGGAAATATGAAATATCACTATCAATATATATTCATATCCAGATGATCAGTGCATTATGAATGAATAAATATTATTACTTCATTGTTTTTCTCCTTTTTACAGATTATGTGAAACTGTAACGTGTAGTTTTCCATTGTGTTTTTCTCTATATACTTTGTACATGTAAAAGGCTAAACGACAGTAGGTGTCCCCAACAGCTTCTAATATGATAGAACTGATGAGTAAAACATGATATCTGAATTATTTTATAAGAATCCTTTTATACAGGTAGACATGTAGAGGTTTCAACTAGTTTACACATTTTTATTTAACATTTAAACCACACTAGCTAAAACAGCACATTTAAGAAATCAAAATTTAGGCTCCCAAACGTCTATTATATTAAATGCCTTTAATGTTTGCAGAATATGCCAAACAAATTTCATACTTTATAATCTTTATTTAAAATATTTACATTTTATAGAATTTCTTCGTCTATGTGGTACGTTTGAGAAGATATGATTTACATGTAAACTGATCATTTTTAGTGTCGCCTGCAGAGCGGCACTAAGGGATCGCTTTACCCTGCGTTTGTCTGTCCGTCTGTTACACCCTTTATCTCGACAACTTATAAGAGGTGTGGCTTTAATATTTTGCACATACATATTGCTTGGCATAATGGCGTTTGTAAATTATAATGATTACTAATCTCCTGACTCTTTACATTGACTTTGACCTACTTTCAAAATAGTTCATAGTTCGATATACAGCATATATTTTACATTTAAAAGATAAGTCTATACTTTTTAGAATGTGTACTGTTTGTTTAAGTTATTATGAAAAATACCATCATTAAAATCTATTTAACCTTAACCTTTGACCTACTTTTCAAAAAAATACATATAGGTAGTTTAATTTAACTTTTGAATTTTAAGAGGCAGGATTTTGATAATTAACATTTATACACGTTTATGAGATCATGCTACTGCACTTTGAAACTGGATGATAATCAGTTACCTCACAGACTTATATTCAAATACTTTGTCAGAATTCCACAATGGATCGCATAGATTAACACTTTCACTAAAGACGCACTGAAATCTCTTTTGGAGAAGTGTTGGAAACACGTATTAATAAATGATAAATACTAGTAGTTGTTTGTTATAATTTCAATTTGAGGGTATGGGAACCATATTACCTTTGATTGTCAGATTCTATCAAAGTCTTATACTATCCACGATTGCCATATTTTCTTTGCAGGCAAATGCATTAACTACCATGCAAATAGAGAATGAAAAGCTGAACACTCTTAGATTTATTTACATCTTTAAGAAGCTAGAAAGCATGCAACACATGTGTTCCTTGGAACATGCACTCTTTGAGATCTTAGAAATACTGTGTAATCGGCTTGGTTCGTGAGACAAGTGTCCGTGGTTTTTGTGTGGTCTAACCCTGCGGACATATTTTCCTCAAAACTTGGCACGTTTGATTCATTTACAAATTACTAATATCACAAACAAAAAGTATTTATTTCTGGATTTTCAAAACGAAAGAAATACAAACTATTGCACATTTTTTTAGTGAAAAAAATTGATTGGAATCAGGGTATTGCAATTCGCCCATTTGGAAGTCTAAACCGACGATTAGGAAAATCTGGCTGTAAGTGTTCCCGGATGTTTGGGAAAATCCTTGGAGTCACTGGTCGTATTTGTGATAAATCCGGAAATGAACATTCATATTTAAAAGAACTTTCGCTGCAACGTTTTCCACACTTATTTGGAGAAGGATTATTGCATGTTCTTCGAGAAGCACATCTGCCAACTGATCTCCATGGCGACCATCCACCATTTCGGGGAATACAGGAATCCCATTTGGTAAAATCAATGTCGTTTTTGAATTCAGAACAGGAGAACTCTGGTGTGCTAAAAATAATTTAAAACTGAACGTCATCTTCTGCAAAAAAAGCTGATTCTTGGGAGCAAACAATTAAACAATTTACTTATTAACTTGAAATCATTCTTGATTTTTCTTTTCAATTCAAGTAATTATTTAAAACATTTATCTATAGATAAATATGATCACCCCATGAGATGACAATTGTGTCTTGTATCATTAGAACAAAGATCAACATACCTTATAGTCTTCTTTTCAAAGACATTTCTATGAATTTTGTCAATGTCTGTGTTTCTACATATGACATTTGCCATTAGTGTATTACGTATTTCCTTCAGTTGTTCTGGTGTAAATTTCACGTTGTCTTCGTTGTTTTCGTAGTAAAATCTGTCTCCATATTTGAGGGCCTTAAACTGCAGTCCAATAATACAGGCAAATAGAGGCCCCACTCGTGCACCCGGAAGTGGGTTTTCCGAGACTCCTCCGGTAAAAAGATCTATGTCGTCTACGTTTCTGAAACAAAACAAAATTTAATTGGAACCTGTTTATATACAACTTAAATACTGTCTTAACTGTGATATTAATAATATTGAACATCCATGTATCTGCTAAGTGTGCACTGTGTACACCAGTAATTATTCTATTTGTAATAAATGCACAGCAAAGTAAAATTTAATATTCTTTATAATAAAATCCGAATGGTTTGTTTGAATATATTAATAAAATACTATAACAATTACTGAAATATATATTAACTTTAGCATTAAAATAAGTAATGGATATAAAGCTTAACTTACTTGTAGATGGCTTTCAGGGCAATGATGGCGTCTCCTGGATGATCCACAAGCCCTCCAGTTCCACTTGTGATCGACGTGGCTGGTTCTAAGCCGCATACCATTCTCCAGAAGTTATAGGGTGGTATACCATGATCACGACCTCTCTGAATGTTTATTGCCGCTAGATCGATACCATTTCCTGGACCTGTTTCGAACAAATGCCTCGTCACTTCATATGATTTCCTCCTGAAGATAGAAAAACAAAGTCTGTATTGACTTTTTCTTATTTTCTTTTTCTCAACATATAAATGTTTCCCAATTTCTTCTTTTTTCTGTCGTCAAAGTCCTACATCAGATCGTAAATTAAAAAGAATTACAAAAATATTGAAAGTCAAAATGCAGCTACATTACGCACATGTCAACACCCTGTGCATTTGTTTCATACAATCCTTTGGTAACGGCCCCTACTCCACCATCTTTTCTGTATATCCATTCTGGTTTTTGAATGATGTTTCTCAAATCAGACATGATATTTGCGGAGAAAGTTTTTGTTGGATGATAAGACAACTTATCGTTAATCATGCTATGACCAAATCTGAAGGCTGCCGCAGAGAAGGAATTCCTGATCATTGGTTTAAATTTAGCGTTATAGCCAGTGAAATATCCTGACGATTTCGGCTTTAGGTCAAATTGATTCATAATATCGTTTCCTAATATTTCTTGCAGATATTGATGATAGGTAATATGCTGAATAAGAGCTCCAACAATTTTACGAGACTCCTGGAAAAGTGTCTCGTCGTTCCAACCTGGGTTTACTTTTTTGAGATTTTTAGCAATTCTGTTGTGCTCCCGGTGCCAAATAGTCTGGAGGGAAATTAAGGCTGCTTGCTGGTTAACTCGTCTATCACCTGATAAAAGTTGGTTTAAGCATATAAGATTACAGCAAAACATTTAGACTAAAACTATTGTGTAAACTAATTAATTAGAACTTCTTTTAAAATTTTAAGGTTTCAGATTTTTCGAAAATAGATGTTAGATTCCTTGCTCTTGGATTATTTAGAAATCGCAACTTGAACATTTGAATGGCATTGTTCTTAATTGCTTTTTTCTACCGATTGCTTTTTTGCGTTTTTGAAATAACTGAAATTCCTTAGTATTAAAAATTAAAGGCGAAAACCAAAGATTACATAGGACAGGAATACTATTGATAAACCACAATTGACAAGTAATACGGTAAATCGAAATAATATGTAATAATTTCAACAATCATGACATTGATTTATATACCTGCTTTAAAACATTTGACTTTATTGTCATTAGAGGGCAGTCGACAGGAGGCTGAATTGCTGGTATCTTGTGATAAAAGTTCCTTGCCATCAACAGACGTTGATCTTAACAGACCTGATGAAGATATGATATTAATACAATATTGCCTCGAAGAAGTACATGGATATATTAAAACGTGTAACCGTTTGGAAACCTTGTTGAAGACTTAGTAAAACTAGATTGTTCTAAATTTGTACATATGCTGTTTTCTCTCTAAACGAGCATACCTTATTGCTTCAATATATACTAGTAATTAATATTCAGGTAAGAATAATTCCTTTCTAAATATTCTCTATTTATAAAAGTTATTTGATTTGTCACATTTAGCAATTGTTACAAATACATTGCAACCTACCATCTCTTTTTAGTCTTAATGAATTCATTGTGTTCTGGTCGGAGCCGTAAACAGCTGAGCCGTCAATATAGTGCGTGTTCTGGTTAATTTGTTGACGCGGGCCTGTAAAATGATTAATGATTGATTGAATTTAAAGCATAGCAACAACAAAGAAAATTAACTACTAATGCAATTTACAGGGGTACAACTGAAAATGATACGAATTTCTAGTGACAATATAAGATTTTCAATATTGCAATGCTGAATTTTTTTTTTTTTTTAGAATGCAATTCATAAAAAATCATTTAATGGAGGTGTTAAGTTTTCGACTCACCGACACTACAGTCTAAAGCTGCTGATGGTAAAGATCTAACAAAGTTCATACAAGTCCTCTTAAAAGATGCGAAATAAGGATCATCTTTTGGTAAGGAAATTGGCAAACAATTTAATCTGTTCAAACCTTTCCTGTCACAGCAATTGAGATTTGAGTTTAAGTAACCTACAAACATAAGTTTCTAGGTGTACAAGTGAATCAAGTTCAGATTTCGCAGGATTCTTACTGTTTATAACATTTCTCTCTTAATTATACTTTTCTGTCAAAAAGAGAGAAATGAAGAAATGCAAAAATTTAGGGGTTTTTTTGTTTGCTTTTCAATGTCTTGTTTTTACAGCAAAAAATTTAACCACGATCTATTTGAAATAAGAGGATGCTAATACCACAGACTGTGGCGTTATTTTATCTACTATTATATAAGAGATGCTATTCTATGGGCTTAACCCTCAAATATTTTTTATTTCATCAGTTGTCAAATATACCTTTAGACAAAGCATTAAATTGGATATCGTGACTAACGAATTGTCCGAATTCCATGGAGAATTGTGAGAGGTCCATGGCGTGTGTGTTTGTACTTCTTTGATGGACAGCAATGCTTATTTCCCTGGGACCTGGTAACGGGCTCCCATTTACATTCCGACTTCTTGGGTCCTGAACATCTGTGAACATGCATATGGATAGCAAAATATATTCTTTCTTTTAAATTCCATGATTTTTAAATTCCGAACTAACGTGTATACATTGTTTTTTCTTCACAAGAATTATACATATATGTATATATAAATTATTTAATTATGCTACAATTTTTTATCTTTAAATCGTCAAATATATATGTAAAATATACTTATTTTCTATTTTGACTCACCATCTTCATAGAATGGAAACACAAATCGTTCAAATGGAGTTTGAGATTTCCCCCAAAGTGGATTGTTTAAGTTGTTGCACGTTCCGTCAGCAGTCCTGTATTTAGCGTTAGTTTGGCAAGATGGTTTTCTATTATATGGGCAAAAAGGTCTGAACTGTACCGATAGATTGGGGATTTCGGGAATGCGAGACAGAACATCTTTGTTGGGTACAAATGACCTTGAGAGAGGACTAAAGACAAGAAATTTGATAAATTAAAGACAAGATAAATTAAACAAGATTTCAAAGTTTAAACAATCACAAGAAATTCATTAATTTATATCTTTCTTTTGGTGTACATAATATGATCATAAAATGAAATGAAAATATAGTGCCTAAATTTGCTTTCAAATTCATTTTAGCTATCTCAGGCAAAAAAACTCAGAACAGAGGAAATTATTTTTTGTTATAAAATTCGAAGAAATACAGACCCTAAACCGTGCTACTACACCACTTGCAGGGTACGGTTCGGTACGCTTTGTGAACGGAACGGTTCGCTTTGTGAACGGTACGGTACGCTTTGTGCACGGAACGGTTCGCTTTGTGCACGGAACGGTACGCTTTGTGGACGGTACGGTTCGCTTTATGCACGGAACGGTATGCTTTGTGGACGGTACGGTTCGCTTCTTGCACGGAACGGTACGCTTTGTGGACGGTACGCTTTGGGAAACGGTATGCAAATGAAGTGGGCGGAGCCTGTTAGCTTTGGTTCTTGATTGGCTGCTAATTTTACAATTTTATTTCCGTTATTACAGAATTCAATGTAATTTATTTATTATTCATATCAATTGAAGTATCAATGAGTTTCTATTTATTAGAGAAGTTTAAATGTTTTATTACATGTATGTTATTGTATCGATCATAGTCTTGTATGCTATGTCTCGGTTTCAATTTTAAATATTAATTTACACTGCAGCATTGATGGAGGAAATAAGAAAAAAATGAAAGGAAATAAACATCGTCTCACTGATCTTTTTCGCATTTGTAAATATATTGATATAGAAGGTAAATATTTCCGTGCGTATTTTCTTACGTATGCCGAGGCTGCGTTTTAAGGAGGCTGGCGGGTCAACAATTTAATCCCAAATTAACCACCAGATTTAACTTATTTTTTTTATATACGGTATATTTAGCTGTCAACTATCATTTGGCAAAGAAAAAATTCATATATTTTAGTTTTAAAATTTTACCATTTTGTATATCTTTATATGGAGCTCTCCTTTTAAAGGAGATTGAAATAGTCTAAAAATGGCTGCCACCCCCTAGCCTCGTTAAATAGAAAAAATATATACATGTACATAATATTCTTTTTTCATTTTAGAATATAGCTTTAACAGAACTGAATATATACTTGTTCTTTATATAAAACTACACACGTATATAAATTATTTTTAATTGATTGATCTATAGAAAAAAATATGACTATTCGCGCTTATATTCTTATTCTTAGTAATAAGAAATGCACATTGTTTCTTATTTTTAAAATTGTAGATCTGTCGGTAAATTATTGATCTTGAATCAGGTAGATTTTGGGGGCGTTAACATAAAATTGGGTTTTTAAACGTCTGCCTTAGAAGAGAAATATCAGTAGACAAAAACAAATTACATGTAATTAATTAAAAAAATTAAAGAAAAAGAATATAAAAATAATTTACAGGGCAAAGAAGACTTGTTTGTCTGTTTTTTTTTCTTTTTTCTTATGTAAATCTTTTTTTCTTTTTTCTTATGTAAATCTTTAATTATTCTGAAAATCTTTGATTATTCTGAATTTAGATACGAAAATCGGCAGCAGAAACTCGGAATCAATAAAATGACTTCCGGTGTAACGACGAAAAGTGACCCCCGTAGAATATTGACCGGGGGTCATTTTTCTACGTAGAAATTTGACCCCCTGGTCAATATTTTACGTAGAAAAATGACCCCTTTTTCTGTAGAAATCATGGCCTTGGGGTCATATTTCTCCGTGTGCATTGTAGAAAATTGACCCCGTAGAATAATGACCCCCCTGTCATTTTTGATGCCAAAACAATTCATTTTAGAAGGAATATTCTTATTAGGCATATGCAAGCGGATAATATCAAGCTGACGTATGCTTTAAAGTGTTAATTTCTGAAAGCTTTTAAAGCTGAACACTTCTCATAAATAGGCACTGTCAGACGGGTATATAAACCCTTCGCTTTCGTTACACCCGATTGCACACTCGAAACTCGTGGCCGACATGTAGTACTCCTATCGTGGTCTTAGATTTTTGGCGTTTATTTCTTGTTTTCATGTGCATTTTCTGTTTGTAAATAATGTATTGACCTGTATTTTCCATGATACTTTTGTCCTGTTTTGGAAAAAATACGCAAAATTTGATAATTTCATCGATATTGAGTAGCATGATTTGTTAGATGTACGTCTGCACTCGTCGGATCTCTATAGTAAAATACATTGAACTGACTAGCGATCTGCTCCTTATATACGAGTTGTATGGAGAGCATTGAAGAACGAGAAATATGGCGGACTATGCCTATTTACGGAGTAGTATTCAGCTTTAAGCTAAGATATTGAAATCAAAGCGATAAAATACCTTGCATTAATGATACAAACTGTTCATCTCCACTAGAGTAAAACGGTATCAAAATGTTCTAACCCAAAATTCATAGAAACTTTTATTAAATTTTATACCAGTAATTTTATACCAGTAAATAAGTTTCCACAGTTGCCATTTTAATTCTTAAAAAGGGTTATTTCCAAACTTCCGCCAGAGTTCGTTTGTACCAAACCAAATCTCAAATCTCTGTGTGCGGAGAAGCAGAGGACTATGGGTAGTATGGGTCATTCTAGCTGACAGTATGGTGTCAGAAAGAAAAGTTTCCGTTATTTATCAATAATGAATTTTTTGAATTTACCCTGGATACATAATTTTTCAAAAGTTTAAACTTTTTTATCCATATTTTTAAAACGGGCACGAAAAAGTGTTCCAATAGAAAAATCGTATAAAAATATTTGATTTTCAATGAATGAAGTTTCAAACTTCTTTAAAAAAAATAGGGATAATATAATTTGTAAAAATAAGTACTAAATTAAATTGCCTCTGACCTTTATATATGATACAAGGAAAATAAGAAGTGGTTAGCTCAAAACCTTTAAAATGTCTTTTGTCGTTTGCTAGTGTTAACAAAATAGGGATTGTAACATAAAACATGATTAACTAAAAAATAATAATAATAATAATAAGTTCCCATCTTTCCAAAAAAAAAAGGCAAATGTAGTATCGTTTTCCCCGTTCTATCATGTACATAAAAATACATATGGTGATTTAAGGATTTTTTTTACCAATAGAAATAAAAATTTAGATGATGAAAAAGTTGTTACTTTACATGATATACTTATGCCCCCGTAAACGAAATTTCCGGGGTTTTGCCCCTGTAAACGAAGTTTCTGGGGTATATAGCATTTTACCTGTCCGCTTGTCTGTTTGTTTATTTTTCCGCAAAACTTGAACCTTGCCCATGCCCATGACTGGGTAAGACTACGGCTTTCATATTTCACAAGTGTATATTTGTGACAAGACCTTTTTGTGTACAATCAATTTTGACCCTTTGATATTGACCTTGGAGTTTGACACACTTTTACACAAGGAGAATATGGAGATATTAACTAACAGTATTCAATATCAAAGTCCATAAGACAATACAAAATATAAAGGAGCAGAGCAAACACGAACCTCCAAAACATCAGAGATGGAATCAGGTGCCATAGAGAAATAAGCATCCCCTGCTGACCGGTCACATCTGCCATGTTCTCCTTGTAACGACTGAGAAATAACAGGAAAATCCTGCACAAACTCGACGCACAAATAACGGACCAACAAAAAGCTCGAAAAACATTAGTCAGCATTTGTTTCAATTTGATAAATTGCATTTGCTGACAATGTCATTGTGTCAACCATATAATTAACAAAATGTTGACTTCAAATGAGACTGCCGATATTCTTGTTATTTATTTCATTTACTTGCTTGTCAATAATTTACTTCGTTTTAGAAATTGTTCATATGTAGAGCATGCTCTTGCGTATAGAATAAACCAAGATATATACACTCTGTTTGAAGGTGATGAAGGTAAATCGCTGCATAACTAAGGAAATTTGACGATAGAAAAGTTTGTCATCACATTTATCATTAAGCCTAGTTGTTAGATTACCATTAACGTCTTTTTTCAAGTAAAATATTTTCAAGTAAAATATCCATGGGTGAGACAGATGTGTCAGACTCTGTGGTATCTTTCATCTCCAGCTAGCTCACAAGGATATATCATATCGACGTAGGAATGAAAATTACCATTGTTAATTGACAATACGTCGTCGATATATATATCTAAATGTTGAGTTGAAGACCACAGCAAGTATTTTTTTCTTTTCACGCATTAGACTTCTCACAAATTCTGTTTCAAGTGAATATAAAAATAGATTTACTTATAACGGAGCGCAATTGGTACCCATGGGAATTCCAATTTATTGTCGGAATATCTGGTCTTCAAAAAAAAAAAAACAACAGATATTGTCGAGCAGTAACTCAAGCATCTCTTTCACGTCAACTTCAGAGTACTTGTGTGTGCAATGTGTTTTAACAAAATAATTTTGCAAATGACCAATGACCATTGTAAATCTACAAGTTCCGTTTTATTAAAGAAGCAGCTGTAATTGAAATAAAAAAAAATCCTGGTTCACACCACTTTTTGAATATATTGTTGCGCAGTACACTAAGAGTTTTTCCTTCTCTACTGTCGATACTTAAGTGCGGAGTACAAAAGAGATTTGAATGAACATTTACTGGAACCCGCAATGTGTCTTTGTTTGGAATCCAATATATATCGGGTAATTCAGAGTTATTTTTGCTCTGTGTAATATTAAAAATATTTAAAACTGACCTAAAATTTTGAAGAATTTCTTCCTTAGAAAGGAAAGTATGAGTATAAGTAGGATTACCACTTGTAGAACTAAATCTTAAAAGTTCTTCTAAAATACAATTAATGAGACTTACAAACGAAGACAATGTTGTTACCTGCTTACCTGCCTACAAGGACCAGTACGTAATAATCATATAATTTATCTATTTTTTTCACTTCTGGATTATTGAACACAGAATGAATAAGGGGTTTCACATTACCCCTCAATCTTTGAATACGCGGCGTTAACATGGATCTGA